AGTAACAGCAAGTTCAGCATCTACGAGGTGCTAATCATAATAGCAGTCCTAATAATCATCGTGGGACTTTACATAAGAAGGCGGTCAAAAAGGTACATGGACAAGAGGATCAGGCAAGAGGTTCTTCGCAGCAGAGAAGTCCTTAACGCAGAGCCGAAGAGTAATGTGTAAGGTACGTGAAGTAACAAAAAATCTGCTGCAGCACTTTTTATAGAGTTGCATAATGCAAAACAATAACAAAAATCTGTAGATGACTTTGGTAAAACTATTGAAGAATTAATGCTTAATTTAACATTATCTCAGGCTGATGGAAAACATGACGTAACAAAGACACTTACAAATACACTAATGGAAAAAATTAAGGGATCAAAAAAAAATTCCAAATTTTTGGGCAGTTTTCAACAGGCCGTAACTTCGAGAGAAATGGTCGTACAGGAAATCAAAAAAAAGGAAATTGTAGATCCAAGTGTCTAGTTTTTGAATTCGAACTTTAAAATTTTGTACCCTCCGCGGTTTTTGAGTAATCGTAGAAAAACCAGCAACAAAAAAATTTTCAAAATTTTTTTAGTTTTTTTTTTGGTCTACAGACGTGGAAATTTTTTTTTGAGCTTAACCACTATAATAATCGGATACCTTGTTCATTTAGCTTTAATTTGCTTAAAATTATGAGCTTTTCAGAGCAAAAAACGTGATCCTTTAATTTTTTCAAAAATTCGATCCAGTGAAACAAAAAAACGGCTGGCTGGATTAATTTGGTTTTTTGTAGGGTTTTTGTGGACATATTGAACTGTAGAAGGCACACTTAACATTAGTGGTTTCCTCAATATTTTCGATCCAGCGCTTGATTTTCCAAAAAACCACCAAAAGCCCTTTTTTTGTTGCATTTTCAAATTCATGTGACGAAAAGAAAAAAATTTTTTTTCGGAAAAGCGATGGCCAGTCGTTAAGGAGAATTTATTCAAGTTCTTGAAACCCACCTTTAAATTTCTGTGCGATCATTGGTTGCTGAGATATCGATAATCAAAGACAAAAGGATCCTTTTCCATTTGAAGACCGATATCTCGGCGACAACTGGGCGTATCAGGGTGTATAAAAAAGCAAATTAAAGCTAAATGAACAAAGTATCCGATCCTTATAGTGGTTAAGCTAAAAAAAAAAATTCCACGTCCGTAGACCAAAAAAAAAACTAAAAAAAATTTGAAAATTTTTTTGTTGCTGGTTTTTCTACGATTACTCAAAAACCGCGAAGGTTACAAAATTTTAAAGTTCGAATCCAAAAACTAGACACTTGGATCTACAATTTCCTTTTTTTTTGATTTCCTGTACGACCATTTCTCTCGAAGTTACGGCCTGTTGAAAACTGCCCAAAAATTTGGAATTTGTTTTTGATCCCTTAATTTTTTCCATTAGTGTACAAACGAAAAATTGCTATAAACGCTTTTGCTAACGGGCTAAAATTTCTTATTAAGGCCCGTCATTTTGTTCCTTACCAGGCGCGATAGCTGGGACCAAAGATGAAGATAGTGCTAAACGTTCATCTGCGTCAATATTTAGTATGCGGGAGTATTACAACTTTAGGGATTCCAGTTTTAGACAACATAACAACACGTAATTTTTCTATGCAAAGATCCAACTATAATAATAATTTTAACAATAATAATTAGAATAAAAATAATTACAGAAACAGTCGTTGTAACAATCAAAGCAATAATATTCATAGGTCGATCAAAAACCGGGGTCGCGGAAACAATTTCCGTGGACCACAAAAGGGATATTTTTTAAACGACTCTCAAAATTCCCAAAACAGCGGAATTAGTACTGAGTCGACAAGACCATTTTTTCGAGCCCCCCAGTAGTAATCATGTAAATTTTAATATTAATGGATTAAACTTTATACGAGTGGGATATGTAATGAAAGATTTAGTATTTTTATTAGACACAGGTGCATCTGTTAGTGTAATTTTTTCTGGCTCTCTAAATTAGAATGAATGTATACACTAAAAAAATAAGCTGTTGAAACAACAAAAAAATATTAATTCAACTCTTTATGCACTTTAAATACAAGCAATGGTTTTTGCACGTTTACTTAACAATCTAAAAATGTCAAATTGTATTGTTTAATTGAACAATAAATATTAGTCAAATGAATAAAATGAGAATATTTGTTCTAATCTGCTAATCTGGTTAATTAAACATTTCGAAAATGGTTGTGCTAACATTTTTAAGATAAGATAGAAGGTAAATTTCTTGAAATGTCCAGGTAATCTTTTTAGCATATTCACGTAACACCAATAAAATGTTAAATTAAAATAATTTACGCTTATGTTGGGTTAATTAAATTATGGAATTAATATAAAGAGAAAAAATTGAACCTTCCCTGGCCAGAATTTTTGTTTTGAGTGCGTTCCACCTACTTCAAATACCTACCGACAGACAGCTGATTTGACCTATATTGGGGGTCTTATCACTGATAAACAGTGTCGGGCAATTTGGTGTAGTGGAAGTTCCACTGTGGAACACATCAAAAACAAACAGCCACCTGAGCTTATATACTCCTATCGTAAGCCAAACTGAGGCGAGATGTAAGAACATCAAGTGATCTACACCGTCTAATGACGAATTTTAAAGTAACATTTACAATTTATGAACAAATTTAATGTTTTGGATTTAAAGACCAACTTAACGTTAATTTAATAGTTTTTTTAGGTAATCCTAAAAATTTCAGTATTTGATTTAACCAACTGGAATTGCTATTAAATCAAAATAGGATAAACAGTTTAATTCAAAAAATTAGTTTATGTTAAATCAATATTTCAACTGTCAAATGAACAAATAAACTTTGACAAACTCTGACAATTGCTTTGACACCAAAATATAAATTAATCCAATAGGTTTTTTGTTGAAACAACATTTTCAAAAATGACATTTAGGCAAACGTTAACTCAACTAAATTATTTTTTTCGGTGTAGATTTTAAGAAAAATATAATGATAAATGGTATTGTGGGTTTAGCCTTTTCAAAAGTTACAGTAAATATTAATTTTAAATTAGGAGAAACAATTTTAAATCATGAATTATTATACAGGGTAATTGGAACAGACTTCTTTGAAAAATTTTATGCAGTAATCGATTTTGGGCATTGGCTTCCAGATATTTTTAAGTGTGGCTAAAATGCAAAATTATTTAAAACAGTAATATAGCCATAAATAAACTTATTTTGTGATTTTTATGTATATTTATGCATAAAAAGATAAAAAGATTTAGTAAATTGGCCTGAATAGAGGTATTCAAGAAAGATAAAAATCTTTAATTAATTGGCGTGGTCCCTGATTAGATTAATATGTAGATTATAAAAATTACTTTTAAATCTATTTTTTAGCAGATACATATTTTTTATGCTTAAAAAACAATTTAAGAATATATTTGGTTTGGAAATAGCACTCGGCGTACCTGATGAATTTTCATAAATATTGGGTAATTACAGGCCGAAACAAATCAACGCAAAACATGCAAATTTATACAAAATTATTACTACGTAAATTTTTGCTTTAAACTTTGTGTTTTATTTGCTTAAATTCTGTTTTATAATTGGGAAATAACACGCTAAAAAATAAAAATTGTTACATTGCAACCTTCCAGACATTTCCATAATTGCAAACTTGCTCACCAAACATTTACAAAATATTTATGAGTTTTACGTTACGATTGTTGCTAAAAATAATATACGTACGAGGTGTGTTCAGAAAATATCGGGAATTGTTAAATTTCGCGGGTTCAGAGGGTCCGGTTGTCATAAAATTTTCTTTATTATGTTGGTATACATGCCCCCGAAGTATGATACAAACTTTAGCTGTTTTCATTGTTTACTTTGTCTGTGGCAGCCGCTAAGGTTAGACGTGTTTTATGAGCTCGGTGATTTTTCGTTCGTTAAAAGAAATGGATCAAAGAATTTGTATCCAATTTTGCTTAAAAAATGAAATAAATTCGGTGAAATGTTAACAAAGGCCTATAGTGAGTCTGCTTTAAGTAAAACAAGAGTTTACAAGTGGTATAAGAGTTTCCAAGATGGCCGTGAAGACGTTGAAGATGACGACCGCCCCGAACGCACAAGCACATTAACAACCGATAAAAACATGTAAAAAGTGGAAGAAATGGTTATAAACCAACAGAGAAGTCGCTGATGATGTTGGTATATCTATTGGCTCATCCCATGACATTTTTTCGAATGTTTTGTGTATGAAACGCGTGGCAGCAAAATTTGTTCTATGGAATATTTTATAAAATTGTTAAATTTTAAACAAAATTTTTGGCCAAAAATAATACTGTAATGATGCCCCAGCCTCCATATTCGCCAGACATGCCTCTGTCTGACTTTTTCCTATTCCCAAAAATAAAGAGAACCTTAAAGGGCCGTCGTTTTGCAAGCATAGATGACATTAAAAGCGCATCGCTGAAAGAACTAAAGGCTATCCCAAAGATCGAGTTTTAGAAGTGTTTCGAGTATTGGAAGAAGAGCTGGCACATGTGCATAATATCCAATGGGGACTATTTTGAAGGCGACAACATAAATGTAGACAAATAAAAAATATTTGTTTCAAAAAACGAAAATTCCCGATATTTTCTGAACACACCTCGTATTTACAATAAATATTAATTGTATGTTTACACAGGGATTTTAATTAAAAACTAATCACCCTTAATAACTTTTGAGTTAAAGTAAATATGATCTTGAGCAAATACAGGTCGATTTAGATATCCCAAAAGTGGAACAGTTTTGTAGTTACATCACAAGGTAAAGAAGTTTTTTTAATTGCAATTAAATGCAATGCTAACTTAATAAAATATTCCTTCTTTCATGAAGTAATTGTTGCTATGTAGAACGAGTGGTATACAGTTAATGGTATAAAGTTAAAGATAATAAATATTACATATTTGATAAAAAATACGGCTTGTCAAAATGCTTGATAAATTAACATTCGAAACACGTAAATAAATATTTACCATTGGTGATGTTGAGATTGTTTAATCGCTGCTGTTGATCATGATAAATATCGCTGTTTGCTCCTCCACTGAGCCTTCTATTGTCAATGTTGCTGTTGCAGGAAGTAGCACTGCTAGAAGATGTCATGCCGCCTCCGATTCTATGTCTGCTTCGTCCCGATCTATTCAACGTATTGTTTGACAATGGCTTTTTGGCACTGGAGTAAATTACTTCCCCTAAAAGTAATTATGATATAGTGGGCCAATAGTTTTTTAATAAGAGTGATATATGCAATTTAAATTGATTCTACTTTAAGCACTTTATTCATTAAATAAGGCATTTTGTTAAGAATGGTGATTTAATATTTAGTTTTCATAAATGGTTTATTATCATAAACAATCTACTTCAAATTAACAAACAAGGAGAAGTCTAAAGAAGTTAAATCAAAGAAGATGTCTAAACAGACTCGTTGCTCGACAAAATTAACTTAAGTTGTTTCAGAAAATTCAAGATGTTTACGATTAACACTGATTAAAGTTATTTTAATAAATTTAAATATATTTTTTTACGCATATCTTTACTTGATGCATTTATGACTAATTTTAAAATAAATCAATCCAACTAAAAAGATATTTTTTTAGTAAAGCTTACCATTGGTCCCGCGAAGTCGGTCTTGGGGATTGGAATAGTGTATCCTTCTTGCATTTATGTTTTCTAAAGGAAATGGCGAAGCTTGTCTATGCAAAGGAATTGGAGATCTAGGAGAAATCATGTTTGGAGGTGGGGTTGGAAATGGAGTAGTTGGGTTATCAGTGGTTACTGCATCTTCAGTGTCATCGGATCTATAGGAACGATCCATGCCTGTAACAAATAATATAATAATAATATGTATAATAAAGGATGTTTTATTAACAGGGACAAATCATTAAATCATATAATCAAGACGGTTAACTAATCGAACCATTTATTGAAATAATGCGTTTATCGAACTTCTAATTTAATAAATTAATTGATCTACAGTTGAACGTAAAAACAGAAAGTTATAGATGGTATTTTTATCCAGTTGGACCCAAACGCCCTTAAAAGCTGGCCTTAATTTCTCCACACAATGTTCGCTTGAATACAGTCGCGATATAATATATTAATAAATAACAATATTTTTCAGGTGAGATATTTTTGTTAATTGTAAAGCAGAATATTGATGTGTAAATAAATTAAACAGCACCACTAAAATATTTCGTTTCGTTTCTGAAAATTCTTGCGAAGAATTCATGCGAAATGCGGATACAATATTGTATAATTTCGTATAACAGGGCAATAAGCCCGTCCGTGCAAATTCTAGCAACAAGTGGCTTGATTGGACATCACAACAGAGTCAAATTGTATGGTCCGCTGGTTCGGACATGAAGTGTATTTGGTGTTGCCAACGAAATTTGCATAGTCAGAACACGTACGGCTTGTCAAATATGATATATGCCTTGCCTACGCAGCGCAGATTGCAGGGTTACGTATCATTGTATGTACATCTTTTGGCCGAGGATGAGACAAGAATATTTATCGTCCGCACAAATAATATTCGACGTTCAAATATTTCTTAAACTTAAAACTACTTGTGAAATGTATAATATATGGCTTTAAAGTATTTTTAACAGTTTTCAGTGTATGATAATTTGGTTTAGCGATAATTATTTTTGGATCCAAAGAGGTTGAACAAAGCCGTGTTTTCTATGTAATTGAGTATATATTAAAAAAACTTTTGAAAACTATTCTATCTTAATTTATTAAATATTATTTTCATTCATTTATATACATTTTAGTGGTGTTATACATAAATCTATTAAATCGATAAATAATCCAAGACATAGTATACTTTAATGATTTTCCTTCTCCTCTGGGAAATTTATAATTGGTTTTCGATATACATAATTAAAGAGAAAACAACACTTGGGAAAAACTTAAAGACACATTACATGTAAGAGTCGGTGATTAGATAGTTTTACTGTTGGGGCGATCCATTTTATCGGAAGGGGGAAGTCTATTAATCAAAGTGGCGGCTTTAGTAAACCCCCTTCTTCCCTTATATCTTTACTTTCCAATACAAACATGCCATGGCACTGGTATGGAGCCATTACTTATTAATTGTGTTTACATTTGCATACAAAAACAGTTTTTTCTTTTGGATTATTTATTAATGACACACAAAGGATATTTATTTGTTATAATACAATATTTAATGTTAATAAATTATTATTTTTCAATTATTAAGCAAGTTCCAAAATTTTAAGCTCCCATTAACAAAGAATTAATCTTTCTTAATAGGTTCTTTAAGGATCGTTTTATCTTTTACACCCAAATATAAAAATGCAAAACTCCCTTATCTTTTCAAAAATTAATAGAAAATAAAAGCAATTAACTTTCTCGGTACATTAAATAAAGCATTCTAGTGATGTTGAAAACAAGGAATGGAATTTAACCACAGACAATTAAAAGTAATTAGAAGTACAATTATCCTTAATGCGTCAAGTCTGGGGGACTCATTAGAATAAAAGTCATATTGATAATTGGCGAAGTGAGGGACTTTGTCAAATTGGGTGTCACCAGTAGTAATTAAGTTTTGAGGATAGTTAATGGCTACATCTAATGGACAAACAGTTTTACCAAACTAAACAACCAATTAACAAAACATTTCCCGATATTTGCCCATTTAATGGGTCATCTTCAAAATCGAACCTTAAGTGATGACATGTAGAAATAATACAGAGTGATTCAAAATTTAATCCAAAAAGCTTATCGCCCTAATTACCAAAGACAAGAAAAAGTGATTCAAAGCAGGTAGCAAGGAACCTTTGTGTTTTGGAGAGCTGTATAGAGATATAGCAACTTGCTATTAAGCCAAGATGTTTAAAGACATGAATATGGAGCTCAATGGTGGAATAGTGTATGTGAGATTCTATACGGAGTTTAGTTTTCTGGATATATATTTTTTAGAGTTTCTATTATTTGGACTTATATTTTTTTAACAGAATCAATTAAAACCTAAATAGTTATTTATTTTCATTAATAAAAATCAGGAAAATGATCTGGTTTCGGCAAGCACTTAAAACAAATATTTCTAATCATTTCTCGTCCATCAAATAATCAAAAATATTTGCGTGACTGCTTTTTGACGCTACAAACGTCTTAGCTGCAAACTGGGGGATCAAAATCACATGAACAGTGATCGGACAGGCGTTGAAGTTTCTTATATGTTTTATTCCGGCTCAGTACATTTCCAATTACGAAAGTGTTCCCCCGGGATGGACTCAGATGGACCTTCAACCTCAAGTCCATCTGTTTCATAACCACGCAACCGGATATGCTTACCAAAAAAACAGTTTGATAAGACCACAATTTATTTTAACATTTTTCTCCTTGAGAGTTTTTATTAATTATAAAAAGGATTTTTATTAATATATTTTTCTTTTGTACCTTATAAGATTGCATAAGCTGGTAGAAATTTAATTCAGGAAATTCAGTAAATAAGTTTTATTTGAAGAAATAAATTAAACTAGATAAGTTATATTAAAGAATTCTTCTTTTAGCAAAATCTAAAAAATACTTCTTAGACATCTTATTTTAGTTCGGAAATTAAATTTTTCCAATTATAAAACCGCTTAAGGATTATTCTTTTTATTGTAAAATGACAAATCTTAAACGATTCTGCAAACATGGTTATAAGGCGGAAGTAAATAGATTGAAAAACGGTTTTTAATGTAAGAAATTCTTATTGGGAATTGAACAATATTTTATTGTAGTACACTTTTAAAATTAGTATATTAAAATAATTCACGTTTTCTCGAAATATTCCTTACTCTTAGGCAAAAGTTAGTGACAATTGTCACCTGGAGATTTGAGATTGCTTATTTCAGTAAGATTATCTTGCGCTATTTGATATCTTTATTTTAAAATTAAATCATTATGATTTGTAAAATATCGGTCAAAACTTTTGTCATAAAAAATACCCGGATTTCAACTGTTGAATGAAAAAATTTCAGGACTGTATTTTGTAAAAAACTACAGCTCTAAGTATTGACGTCCAGTGGCTTCAGCAAGATCCATCTGCCATGAGAAACATCCACGCAATCTAATGTACAAATCACAAATACCTCGCTATACTTAAATATTGATATCTTGTCCCTCCCAGGTCGAAAATTCACGTATATTTTACACTTATTCATTGAGCGGAGCGCGCACTGCGAGAAACAAAACGTCCCATTCAATGTTTAAACCAAGTTTCATTAAATTTTATTTGTAAAAATACCTTCCTTATAGGAGTTTAATGAAAAATTAAAAAAAAAACACATAAAAGTATGTTTGTAAAAATAAAAAATTCAAAAAATGAAGATCAGCTGAATTAATCCAACTTGCAGGTATGGCAAAACATTAAATGTTTTAAAATTATTCAAAAATATAATATTCTACATTTTTAGTACGCATAATTCATTTAATTAAATCTATTAAAACCCATAGACAATGTCTATTAGACATACGTGTAAAATTAAAAGTGTAATTTATTTTAATGTATGTAACAATCTCTTAGAAGTCCCCGTGGCGAGGGACTTGTTAAATTTTTAATCCCCCTTGCATCCTCTGGCCTATATAATCAGATCAGTGTATGTCAGTTTTCACGTACTGTGCTGGTTTTTTATGTTGTTAAAAAGTTTTTGGTAAAAGTTGAGCGGTGGGCTTTTCTGCGTGGAATAAAGTTGTGTGTGTATATGGAAGAATCTCGGAAACTTGTTAAATCTAATCCAGCTACAGCTACGTAACTTGAATAGAAAACGTCAGATAATAAGTTGTAGCCGCTGCTATTGTATTTTAAATTTGTTTTGGCAATGATTCCAAACAATTTTCTTAAAATAACAATCTGATGAATTTGTTTAATTTTGTAGAAGAATATATAATCAACAAGACATATAAGATTTTAAATAAAATTCTAAAACATAGTATACCTAATGTATATTTAAAGTAGGCTGACGGATAAGAGCTATATAATTTATTTTTAAAATAAAACAGGAATTTAGTTTAAATCAAAACTTTATATTCAATATTAAGAATGGCCTATCCTAATATTTTTTTAACACTACCTTAGGCATATTCTTCAATCTTGTCTATCATGTGAAGCTTTTAATAATAATAATAATAATAATAATAATAATAATAATTTTATTTCTTATAAATATACACATAAGAATATACACATATTTACAGAAATATAGTCAGGATAAACAGATTAACAAATAATAATATTAAGGCACATAATTAAAATATTCATCCAGAGTATAGGGTTCTATTTCGATTAAGTATTCCAATATATATTTTTTATACTCTTTAAAACATCTACACTTTTTAATATGTAAAGGTAACTTATTTTATGCTTTAATACCAGTATAAAAACATCCTTTTTTAAATATTGCCAATCTATGAGGTGGTATATTCATAACATTGTGTCTGCTATTAATCCTATTGGATAGCTGACTAGAGAAGACATTCCAATTTTTAAAAACAAATATTAAAACTTCATAAATATATACAGCCACAAAAGTTAAAATTCTGCTATACCTAAAAGAACCCCTACACGTTTGGGTAGCATTAAAATTAAGAATTGCTCTAAGTGCTCTTTTTTGAATTAAAAAAACATCATTTGAATTCACACATTGACCCCAAAATATAATACAATATCTTAAAATAGAATTAAAATTGGCATGGTAAATTGTTTTTAGGACATTCACATCAACATATTTTTTAAGTACATAAATTGTATATACAACTTTACTAAGTTTTTTACACAACTGCATCACATGAGGAGACCAATCAAGGTGTTCATCAAGATGAACACCCAGGAATTTAGTCTCACTCGTAAATGCAATTGGCAAACCTTGGACAAAAAAACTATTAGGGACTATTACGTTGGAGAGTTTGGTTCTAAACAATATAATATTTGTTTTTTCCTTATTAACAGTTAAATTATTAGATTTAAACCAATGACAAACATCATCCACAAGCATACTACAGTTATTTACAACTTCCAAAGAAGTTTTACCTACCACGAGTAAATTTGTATCGTCGGCATAGTTCACCATACTCTGACTGGTATTGGTTATATTAGCTGATATATCGTTTACATATATAATGAACAATAAAGGACCTAACACGCTACCCTGGGGAATTCCCAACTTAATATTTTCATATTCAGAGTAATAGGCAATTAAGTCCCTTAATGCAACCGCGTTGGTTAATATTGACTTTCAAGTCCTAAATAGTTTGTGATTTAAAGGGTTTTTTAATTAGAGCGAAGTGGAATTAAACAAGGTATAAAAAAGGTAACGACTTTGTTTTAGATTAAAGAACATGACATAATGTATCGGAAATAACATCTGGCAAATGGCCTCCGCGATTTCGATGGGTTGCGACCATTCGAGAAGCCCAATTTTGAAATTCTTTCTGCCAGAGATCGAATTGTATTTCGTCAATGACTTGTCGGATATTGTCTCTGAGTGCTTCAATACTTAGAGGCTTATTTTCATCCACCAGACTCTTCACTTACCCCCATACAAAGAAACTCCTTTGAAGGATCACATGATCTTGCTGTATGGAAAGTGGAGCCATCCTGTTGGAAAAACATGTTTTCAAAATCCATATACTCCAATCGAGACCAAAATCCACACCAGATAGTAATCTTTTCTGGATGCAGTTTTCTTCACCCCAAATCTGACAGTTCTGCTTATTAACGAAGCCGTTCATCCAAAAATGAGCCTCATCGCTAAAAATGATTTTCTGGCCGAATTCAGGGTCGGCTTTCAAATGCTCTAGAGCCCAATTAGCAAAACACCGACGCAAAAGATAATCTATTGGCATGATCTCTTGGGTCAACTGGATCTTATAGGGGTGTAAGTCTTTGTGCAAGATTCGCCAAACTAAGGACAAATTCTTGCGAACGTTGAGGAATTGAGACTTTATGATTTTCATGCACACTTTCTCTATACGCAGCAACATTCTTCGCAGACCGTGCGTTACGACGACGCACATATGTTAGGAGATTTGTAACAGCGCCGGTTGTCTCAAATTTTGTCACCATTCGTCGAATGGTTGGTTCTGTTTGTCGATTATAAATATTATAAAATTTGCGTAACGCACGGAATGTTTATCGTGGAAAACGGATATTTTGATAATACATTTGAATTATCTGGGTTCTTTGAGCACTTGCTTTGTAGAATACGTACGTCAAAAAATGACAGCAAGATCTTTTTAAATTACAACGCCATCGTTGATCAAAGATCTATCACTTTTAATGAAAACCTTTATTAACCTACACCAACGACTTAAAGTAGTCTCACAAGAAGTAATCGAGTGGCGTTAAATCGCATGATCTGTCTAACATTTTTGAATACCATTAATGGATTTTCATAGAATACTCCTTTGTTAACGTATATACCAAGAATACACTTTTCAACATTACAATTGTTGATAATATTAATAATAATAATATATTTATTTAGCCACCACTATTTAAAACAAGTACACATTTACATAATTTTTTACTTTTTAAATATAATTTTGCTATATTTACTAGACGTTGGTTTATCTATATAAATATCTTTGTCTTGCCTTGTTGGATAGTTATGTATATAACAGTTAAATTTTACTTTTTTAGTTAAATATATGGGACAAAAATATCGCGATTTTCAAGTGTAACTTCGAAACGGGAAGAGATACGAAAGTGCGGTTTAATTTTTTGGAATCAGCGTGCTCGAATTAGTAGGGAAAAATTATTTTTGCAACTTTTTTTTTCTTGATTTTCAGAAAAAATGTCATAAGGGGGGACCCTTTTGACAAAAATATCGCGATTTTCAAGTGTAACTTCGAAACGGGAAGAGATACGAAAGTGCGGTTTGATTTTTTGGAATCAGCGTGCTCGAATTAGTAAGGAAAAATTATTTTTGCAACTTTTTTTTTCTTGATTTTCAGAAAAAATTTCATAAGGGGGGACCCTTTTGAAAAAAATATCGCCATTTTCGAGTGTAACTTCGAAACGGGAAGAGATACGAAAGTGCGGTTTGATTTTTTGGAATCAGCGTGCTCGAATTAGTAAGGAAAAATTATTTTTGCTACTTTTTTTTCTTGATTTTCAGAAAAAATGTCATAAGGGGGGACCCTTTTGACAAAAATATCGCGATTTTCAAGTGTAACTTCGAAACGGAAAGAGATACGAAAGTGCGGTTTGATTTTTTGGAATCAGCGTGCTCAAATTGGTAAGGAAAAATTATTTTTGCAACTTTTTTTTTCTTGATTTTTAGAAAAAATGTCATAAGGGGGGACCGTTTTGACAAAAATATCGCGATTTTCAAGTGTAACTTCGAAACGGAAAGAGATACGAAAGTGCGGTTTGATTTTTTGGAATCAGCGTGCTCGAATTAGTAAGGAAAAATTATTTTTGCAACTTTTTTTTTCTTGATTTTCAGAAAAAATGTCATAAGGGGGTTCCCTTTTGACAAAAATATCGCGATTTTCAAGTGTAACTTCGAAACGGAAAGAGATACGAAAGTGCGGTTTGATTTTTTGGAATCAGCGTGCTCGAATTAGTAAGGAAAAATTATTTTTGCAACTTTTTTTTTCTTGATTTACAGAAAAAATGTCATAAGGGGGGACCCTTTTGACAAAAATATCGCGATTTTCAAGTGTAACTTCGAAACGGAAAGAGATACGAAAGTGCGTTTTGATTTTTTGGAATCAGCGTGCTCGAATTAGTAAGGAAAAATTATTTTTGCAACTTTTTTTTTCTTGATTTTCAGAAAAAATGTCATAAGGGGGTTCCCTTTTGACAAAAATATCGCGATTTTCAAGTGTAACTTCGAAACAGAAAGAGATACGAAAGTGCGGATTGATTTTTTGGAATCAGCGTGCTCGAATTAGTAAGGAAAAATTATTTTTGCAACTTTTTTCTTCTTGATTTTCAGAAAAAATGTCATAAGGGGGGACCCTTTTGACAAAAATATCGCGATTTTCAAGTGTAACTTCGAAACGGAAAGAGATACGAAAGTGCGGTTTGATTTTTTGGAATCAGCGTGCTCGAATTAGTAAGGAAAAATTATTTTTGCAACTTTTTTTTTCTTGATTTTCAGAAAAAATGTCATAAGGGGGGACCCTTTTGACAAAAATATCGCGATTTTCAAGTGTAACTTCGAAACGGAAAGAGATACGAAAGTGCGGTTTGATTTTTTGAAATCAGCGTGCTCGAATTAGTAAGGAAAAATTATTTTTGCAACTTTTGACAAAAATATCGCGATTTTCAAGTGTAACTTCGAAACGGAAAGAGATACGAAAGTGCGGTTTGATTTTTTGGAATCAGCGTGCTCGAATTAGTAAGGAAAAATTATTTTTGCTTCTTTTTTTTTCTTGATTTTCAGAAAAAATGTCATAAGGGGGGACCCTTTTGACAAAAATATCGCGATTTTCAAGTGTAACTTCGAAACGGAAAGAGATACGAAAGTGCGGTTTGATTTTTTGGAATCAGCGTGCTCGAATTAGTAAGGAAAAATTATTTTTGCAACTTTTTTTTTCTTGATTTACAGAAAAAATGTCATAAGGTGGGACCCTTTTGACAAAAATATCGCGATTTTCAAGTGTAACTTCGAAACGGAAAGAGATACGAAAGTGCGGTTTGATTTTTTGGAATCAGCGTGCTCGAATTAGTAAGGAAAAATTATTTTTGCAACTTTTTTTTTCTTGATTTTCAGAAAAAATGTCATAAGGGGGGACCCTTTTGACAAAAATATCGCGATTTTCAAGTGTAACTTCGAAACGGAAAGAGATACGAAAGTGCGGTTTGATTTTTTGGAATCAGCGTGCTCGAATTAGTAAGGAAAAATTATTTTTGCAACTTTTTTTTCCTTGATTTTCAGAAAAAATGTCATAAGGGGGGACCCTTTTGACAAAAATATCGCCATTTTCGAGTGTAACTTCGAAACGGGAAGAGATACGAAAGTGCGGTTTGATTTTTTGGAATCAGCGTGCTCGAATTAGTAAGGAAAAATTATTTTTGCTACTTTTTTTTTCTTGATTTTCAGAAAAAATGTCATAAGGGGGTTCCCTTTTGACAAAAATATCGCGATTTTCAAGTGTAACTTCGAAACGGAAAGAGATACGAAAGTGCGGTTTGATTTTTTGGAATCAGCGTGCTCTAATTAGTAAGGAAAAATTATTTTTGCAACTTTTTTTTTCTTGATTTTTAGAAAAAATTTTATAAGGGGGGACCCTTTTGACAAAAATATCGCGATTTTCAAGTGTAACTTCGAAACAGAAAGAGATACGAAAGTGCGGTTTGATTTTTTGGAATCAGCGTGCTCGAATTAGTAAGGAAAAATTATTTTTGCAACTTTTTTTTTTTTGATTTTCAGAAAAAATTTAAAAAATATCGCGATTTTCAAGTGTAACTTTGAAACGGAAAGAGATATAAAAGTGCGGTTTGATTTTTTGGAATCAGCGTGCTCGAATTAGTAAGGAAAAATTATTTTTGAAACTTTTTTTTTCTTGATTTTCAGAAAAAATTTCATAAGGGGGGACCCTTTTGACAAAAATATCGCGATTTTCAAGTGTAACTTCGAAACGGGAAGAGATACGAAAGTGCGGTTTGATTTTTTGGAATCAGCGTGCTCGAATTAGTAAGGAAAAATTATTTTTGCAACTTTTTTTTTTTGATTTTCAGAAAAAATGTCGTACACAAAAATATCGCGATTTTCAAGTGTAACTTCGAAACGGAAAGAGATACGAAAGTGTGGTTTGATTTTTTAAAATCAGCGTGCTCGAATTAGTAAGGAAAAATTGTTTTTGCAACTTTTTTTTTTTTTGATTTTCAGAAAAAATGTCGTACACAAAAATATCGCGATTTTCAAGTGTAACTTCAAAACGGGAAGAGATACGAAAGTGCGGTTTGATTTTTTGGAATCAGCGTGCTCGAATTAGTAACGAAAAATTATTTTTGAAACTTTTTTTTTCTTGATTTTCAGAAAAAATGTCATACACAAAAATATCGCGATTTTCAAGTGTAACTTCAAAACGGGAAGAGATACGAAAGTGCGGTTTGATTTTTTGGAATCAGCGTGCTCGAATTAGTAACGAAAAATTATTTTTGAAACTTTTTTTTTCTTGATTTTCAGAAAAAATGTCATAAGGGGGGACCCTTTTGACAAAAATATCGCGATTTTCAAGTGTAACTTCGAAACGGAAAGAGATACGAAAGTGCGTTTTGATTTTTTGGAATCAGCGTGCTCGAATTAGTAAGGAAAAATTATTTTTGCAACTTTTTTTTTCTTGATTTTCAGAAAAAATGTCATAAGGGGGGATCCTTTTGACAAAAATATCGCGATTTTCAAGTGTAACTTCGAAACGGAAAGAGATACGAAAGTGCGGTTAGATTTTTTGGAATCAGCGTGCTCGAATTAGTAAGGAAAAATTATTTTTGCTACTTTTTTTTTCTTGATTTTCAGAAAAAATGTCATAAGGGGGGACCCTTTTGACAAAAATATCGCGATTTTCAAGTGTAACTTCGAAACGGAAAGAGATACGAAAGTGCGGTTTGATTTTTTGGAATCAGCGTGCTCGAATTAGTAAGGAAAAATTATTTTTGCAACTTTTTTTTTTGATTTTCAGAAAAAATGTCATAAGGGGGTTCCCTTTTGACAAAAATATCGCGATTTTCAAGTGTAACTTTAAAACGGAAAGAGATATGAAAGTGCGGTTTGATTTTTTGATTTTTTGGAATCAGCGTGCTCGAATTAGTAAGGAAAAATTATTTTTGCAACTTTTTTTTTCTTGATTTTTAGAAAAAATGTCATAAGGGGGGACCCTTTTGACAAAAATATCGCGATTTTCAAGTGTAACTTCGAAACGGAAAGAGATACGAAAGTGCGGTTTGATTTTTTAGAATCAGCGTGCTCGAGTTAGTAAGGAAAAATTATTTTTGCAACTTTTTTTTCTTGATTTTCAGAAAAAATGTCATAAGGGGGGACCCTTTTGACAAAAATATCGCG